CCAGCCTGGGTGACAGAGTAAGACTCTGTGACAAAAAAAAATTAGTAACATGGGCCGGCGCGGTGGCTCATGCCTGTAATCCCACCACTGTGGGAGGCCAAAGCGGGTGGATCACGAGGTCAGGAGTTCCAGACCAGCCTGGCCAACATGGTGAAACCCCATCTCTACTAAAAATACAAAAAAATTAGCCGGGCACGGTCATGGGCGCCTGTAATCCTAGCTACTTGGGAGGCTGAGGCAGGAGAATTGCTTGAAGCAGGAAGGCAGACATTGCAGTGGGCCGAGACCGGGCCACTCTGCACTCCAGCCTGAGGGACAGAGCAAGACTCGGGTCTCAAAATAAATAAATAAATAAATCAGTAACAAGATGACAACCCAATTAAAAAAAAGGAAAAATATTTGAAAGACATTTTACAAAAGAAGATCTATGGATAGTCAATAAGCACATGAAAAGATGCTTCGTACCATCAGTCATTAGGAAAATGCAAATGAAAGCTGTAATAAGATACCACTTAAAATCCAGCCAAATGAATAAGACAGATCATAAGGAGTGTTGGTGAGGATGTGGACAAATTGGAGCCCTCATACACTCTGGTGGAAATGTAAAGTGGGAATTCACCTTGGAAAGCAGTTGTACAACACCTCAAAAAGTTACCCATACAGAGTTACCATATGACAGTAATTCCACTCATAGATATACACCCAGGAAAACTGAAAACACATGTTCATACAAAAACTTGTACCCATCTTCATAGCAGCATTATTCATAATAGCTAAATACTGTACTGTATTTACTGTAATAAAATTACAATTAGTACAATTAAACACTATCATTAAATACTGGAAGAAATCCAAATGTCTGTTAACTGGTACTGTTAAATAAATAAAATGTGGTCTTGCCATCGAGTGGATTATTACCTAGCAACAAAAAGGAATGAAGTAATGAGACATACTACAACATGGATGAACCTCAAAAACATTATGCTAAGTAAAAGAAACCAGATGCAAAGGATCACATATTGTGTAATTCCATTTACATGCCCAGAAAAGGTAAATTTATAGACAGAAAGTTTTTTAGTGAGTGGGGCTGGGGATAGGAAACCAGGACTTGCCTGCAAATGGGCACAAAGTATTTTTTTAGGAAGATGAAAATTTTCTGAAATTGGAATGTGGTGATGGTTGTACAACTCTATTATATTTTCTAAAACAATCATTGAGTTATATCCTTAAATGAACCTTATAATATATAAATTATACTTCATTAAAGCTGGTAAAAAATAGCTATGAAACCGCAATGCAGTTTCATGTGTAATTCTGGTTTTTATACATCTTATGACAAGACTTTTATAAAGATGGGGCAACCATGATTCCCCAAGACAATGTGGCAGAGGTCCCCAAAAATCTCAAGAAGTAAACTCAATGCTTTAGAAAACTACAAAGAAATGCATCAAAATTTATATTATTCAGCAATGATAAGGTAAATGTATTTGGGTAAGCAGCAGGGTTACTCATCTGTGTGCCAGTATTTACAGTATGAGGCCCCTTAGCTTCTGGTCTCTGTTCTTGTAGTCATCTTAAATTGCACTGTCAGTTTTATCGTCTTCAAATATTACTTTCATAAGGTGTGCCTCCTGTTCCAGACACAGGACCAAAACCCTTGATTTTGGGAATTCTAGCTTTTCATTTTTCTCATGCTGTTTTTATAAATTTTTAACCAAAGTTTCCAAATGAACCTTCTGCTGCAGTCAGAGCCAGCTCTTCCTCAGGCTGCACATACTTCCTAACAACTCACTCACTAGTAGGGATGCCACTTCCCTTCTTTCCTCTCTGAAATTCTGCCCATTGCTCAGGCCCAAATTGAGTCTTACCCATACTGTGAAGCCTTCTCTGAATAATTCATCTCACATTGAGCTGAGCTCCTGAAGTATCTGTGCTCTACAACAGTCATCTGGGCATTAAGAACTGTTCAGAAGTTTTAGTTTAAATGTTCTGAGCCTCATTTGTCCCTGTTCTTGAGGGGCTGGATTTTATTACTTTATATTCCCCTATATAGATTAACAGAAGCAACTCAAGAAATAGTTATTCATGTTTATCTATGTTTCCTTGATAAATTCTCTTTTATATTTGTTTTAATTTAAAACGCCATTTTTGAAAATACGATGCTAGATTTCTTTTTTGAGAATTTATCCTTACATGCTGATTCTGCTTCAGGTATCTATAGTATGTTTTATTTAGCCATTAGCAGATCTGTCCCTGGATTCCCTAATCCACAGATATACACAAAATTTGGGTTCAAGCAATTCTATTTTTCTCTTATATCTTTTAATAGATGTATTATCTATTATGCCAGGTATGACAATATAAAAAAAATTCATTTAAAAATTACAATATTACTAAATGTCCTTCTAAATCCACATTTAAGCAACAAAAACGAATCACAGATTCTTAAAGTAGAAAATGATGTATAGTTAATCTTACTATCTTGCCTCCTTTACTTTTCAAAAATCCACTGATAATCTGGGCATGATGCTTTCAAACCTTACCCTAAAGAGAAAAATACTCTCGGAACACTTCTTCCTGCTATCTTTAAATTGTGCTTGTATTTTTCTCTGCTTTTCTTTTGACACTCAATCACTCCTTTAAAACTTGTAAAAACAACAACAACAACAACAACAACAACAAAACAAAAACAAAACCGTAAAAGTTTCTGTAACTCTCCAATCTCCAACTATGTCGTAAAATCCTTTGCCGGTTTACCCAGTCTGCTGAGGAGGCTCACCGTTTCTTTTTCGAGCGAATGACACAGTTGTCTTGGCAGCGTGACTTGCCCTTTTGGTTCCTGCTTTATCAGTTTGGTGATTCTTTGTACAGATTGATAACCATGAAAAAGTCTAAAGTAGGGCAGTTCCGGAGCAGCTTTTTCCCGTAAAGCAAGGGGGTACCTCACAAAACTCCAGGCAAAAGAATGAATGATAGGGCACTCACCAATAGCGAGTGGAGAAGAGTATTTTGTCGAAGTTTGCAAACCAATCCTTGGGAGCCAGAGGTGGGAATTTTAAAATGAGGTCTTTTCCTTGGAATTTGCTTAAAGGGGTATCGCTGCCTGTTGCTATTGAAGTTTGTCAAAGAATGTAAAATCACCAGCTTAGAGAATTTTTTCCCCCTTCAAGAGAGACAAAACGTGCAAATTGATTCTCTGCAAATTGGGAGAACTTCTAAGAGTGGGGTCATAGGATACTCTCACATATAATCACTTGGTAACTTTTGTGTCAATTTGGGGAGGAGGTGAAAGTAATTTTAACATGATTCATTTTTCATGATCAAATATCAGATACTAAATTAATGTATTGAAAAACGGTATTCCCCTTTTTTAAAAAAAGAAATGAAAACTAAGAGGCTAACATTATTTTGAAAAAACTGTTCTATTGTTAATCTTCTTTTTGGGGGGGTGTACCTCTTCATATATTAGCAGCAAGTCTTATTATTTGGGTTGACCACAAAAGTATCTTTGTTTTTACACAAAATGTGGATTTCCTCATTTTAAGACCAGCAAAAAATTTGAGTGCCACGAATTCTTAGGTATTATGAAACTATCTTAGAAATACATGACATATACTGTGCTCTATACCTGAGTAGCTCTTGAAGACCAAATTTAACAGATAACTGATAAATATTTTATTATAACTCATACCTTGTTTTGAAACCAATGTTTTTTATTTAATGTAACTCTGCTTTCTAGGTTATTCATCTCTAAGAGTAATTAAGTCGGCCACTGTAAAACTGCTTCATTATAAAGTTAAGTTTCCTTGACAAGGAGCCTCGCAAATTAACAGGCTTTTCACGGAACAAAAATCATCAGCGATTGTGGTAGAGGAAAATACTTTAAAACCTTCATTTCAGAAGGAAATTTGTCATATTGAGACACTTTAAAAAGTGTCTCTTAAAAATGTTTCCGAACTATGCTTCCAAGCATTTTTAACAGCATAAAACTCTTTCTTTGATGCTATTTCGCTGACATAATTTTTGTCTTGAAGAAATACGTAATGACAGCCTACTCAGTCATGCTAGGAACTGTCATTGTATTTAACTCTCTAAATTGTTCCTGTCCTTTGTAGCAATCTTTTCTCACAATAAACCTTGGGTGCTTGAAGGGCAGAGACTAGGTTACCTCCTCCTCATCTTTGTTATCTACCAGTGCGCAGTGACCCCTTAAATCTAGTGCTTAAGACTCACTACTTGCTAACATTGGTTTCGTTACATAAACTCACTGGCCTGTTTTTCAACCGTCAGACTGGTGCTGTTAGTCCCTGTGTCACGGGATTGCTGTCAAGGGTTCAACGAGATAATCTATAAACAGCTCTTAGAATGAACGCTCTACGTGGGATCATTGCTGTAATCCCTCAACGTGTGCTACTGAATGAGAGGCCGAGTGACTGAATGAATGTATGAATGAACAGGCCAGTAACTGGCGGCTCCCGAGGTTGGAGCCGGCTAAATTACCCCTTCAAAACGCTAAACAAAAAGCCACTCCGTGGACATCAAACCCCACGGCGGAGCCGGAAGCAAGAGTAGAGCCGCGGGCGGGGCCAGAATAGAGGAAGTCGCGCTCTCGGCCAATAGACATATCGCTTGGCAAACGAACATTTTCCCACACCTATCGTGAAAGCGCGAGAACACAGGGGGTTATCGCGAGGTTCCCTGCTCCTCTCCCGCTCCCTCTTCTCCAGCTCCCTGTAGCGCGGGTTCCGCTCCGCCCCCGGAGCCCCGCCCCCGACGCCACTGTAAAACTGCTTCATTATAAAGTTAAGTTTCCTTGACAAGGAGCCTCGCAAATTAACAGGCTTTTCACGGAACAAAAATCATCAGCGAT